TATATCTATAGATATATATCTATCTATAGATATAGATAGATAGATATCCATTTATTCTCCTGTTTAAATGTCATAGAAATACTTCTGCATCCCAAATAAGAGATTTTTGTTTTGTTTTGTTTTGTTTTGCAGTGCTGGGGATCAAACCTAGGGCCTTGTACATGTTAGATAAGTACTCTACCACTCAGTTATACCCTCAGCCTTAAAACAGTTTTTAATGGGGGGCGCTTAATGGAAGTAATAAAAGTAGGTTTCAGCTAGTTTTCTAAGAAAGTTGGACTTCAGTGTCAACAGGAGAGATATCTTTAGTACAGTAATTTTAATTCATTTATTGTTTGAGTTTATGTAGAAACATTTTTTTCTGCATTTTGTGATTTAAAGTGGGAGAAAAAAAACCATATGAGTTATTGTCAGTATCCTGTTTTTTTAATCCACCAAAATATACTGTTATCATTAAGACTAAATTAAAAATTGTAAATTTTACTTATTTGTTCATTTGACTGCTTTACAGTGCTGGGGATTGAACCCAAAGTCTTGTATATGCTATACAAACACTCTACCATTAAGCTACATACCCAACCCAATTGAAATATTTTTGTTTATACATTCTCAGAAATCACTTAGAGCATTAGATTTCTCAGTCAGAGTAAAAATCTTATGTATGCTATGTCAAAAATTAACTGATTCTGAATGGCAGCTTTTGGTGCTTCTATTGTACTACAGTTAATTTAGACAGAATATCAAGCTATATCTTCCTCTAAAAATCTCCACTTTGTCAGAAGGGATCATATCATACAGTCTTGGAAGCGGTTTAGTTTTGCTAGCCTTTGGATTCTTTTTTTTTGGGGGGGGGATAGGGTTTTTTTCTTTTTTTTTTTTTGGTACCAGAGATTGAACTCAGGACCTTGCACTTGCCAGGCAGTCTCAATGCCACTGAGCTAAATCCCTGCCCCTGAGATAGGGTTTTATTGTGTAGTCCAGGCTGGCCTTGAACTCTCTGTAGCCCAGGCTGGCCTCAAACTCATGGTGATCTTCCTGCCTCAGCCTCCCTAGTGCTGGGATTACAGGCATGTGCCACCGCACCCGGCATTTGAGACTTTTTATCCTTGGTAATGAAGGAAGCTATGTCTCCATCCAAATGCATCCTCGAAAACTGAGGCTTCACCCCTACCCGCTCTGCAGCCATTAGCTTGTGCAGTATGAATGCTAATTGATGGTGACCAATTGAGCATCACAGCAGTTTACATCTACCTCACCTGACAAAAGCAGTGTTAGTCTAGTCTGTTCTTTGCTGAGGCTGGTGCCTCCTATTTGGAACTCAGAATTTTAGCCATATTCTTTTCTCTAGTTGGATGTGGTGGGGATTTTTAAAACAGGTTTTATCTATGCTAAAAGAGCTGATATTGGGCCTGTGAGGTCAGCCATAATGGTGAAGATGCTTGTGAGATTGAGGGAGATAAGAAGGAAGGGAACAGAGGACTTGGAGGCTGCTGCTCTGTCTTTCCCTCCTGGTGACTTACTTCTCAGAGGCTCTTTTGTTTTGAAGTATGTGTTTGAGAAGATTGTGGCCACAAGTCTTTTCCTTCCACTGCTGGCCAGTGTCCCCTTTGTACAGGATCTACACATCCCTGGTAGCTCCCCTTTCAGTGCAGCCCTGCTGGCTGGGTTCCAGTCTGGGGAATGGGTCTCTAGTCCCACCAGTATTTCTGCTGCTTCTAGAGAAAGTCGCTGTTTCCTTCTAATGGCCTTCTTTGTGGTTCTTGCCCCTCCAGGTGACCACCTTGCAGAAGAACTCTTAGCTAGTGGGCCTCCTTCCTCTACCACTGGTGTGGCTTCCTAAGTGCTTTGACTGCACATCCAGCTCCTTATTCTGATAAAGCACCTTCATTTATATTTTGTTTTCTGTGAGTGGCACTATAAATTTTACTGATGATTATCCTCACTACTTAACTTGGACTTTGCCAACTGTGAGAACAGAGAGATGATCAAAGGGAGGTTTTTGAAGTTTGTTTCAGGTTTCTGATTAAGCCTCTGCCTAAACCAGTGCAAGCAATCTGGGACTGCTTGTATTCCTGTGATGATCTCTTGACCTTTTGTGTGAGTGTGTGTGTGGTACTGGGGATTGAACCTAGGGCTTTTGCAGTGAGCTACTTCCCTAGACCTTTTTTTTTTTTTTTTTTAATTTTGAAACTGTGTCCAGCCTGGGTATCCTCTTGCCTTAACCTCTCAGAGTGCTAGGATCACAGATGTGCACCACCACTCCCAGCTATTTCACATACTTTTAACTTTATGAAAATGGTATAATGCAGTATATAGTCTATTGTGATCTGCTTGTTTCATCACTAAATCTGTAATCATATATGTTGTTAGGCACTTGTTACTTTGGCTTCTCTGAAATACTCTAATATAAATTGGTTTTATGCTGTCTAAATATTCTTTGATTATTAAATCAGCAGGCCTCCCATTTAGAATTCAGGGGCTTTTTCCATCTGTATTCTGACCCGAGTTTGCTTATAAGGTTGCCTACCTGTTTTTCTCTCTGGAACACACCCATGAACTTGTTGGGACACATCAGGGGAGGGCAGGAGCTTTCTGCCCCTATCCCATTGCATCTTAACTCTCAAGCTGGCCAACCACACCCCATTCTCCTCCTTTTTATCATGACCATTTCACACCTCCTTTACAGAAGTAAAAAAACTTGATACAGAAGAATGAAAAGGAAAGAACCTAAGACACTATGACATTTGAGATCATTCTACTTTGCTTGGACATACTTTGCTTTACTGATGGAATTTTTGAGTCCTTAGACCACTGACAGTAACTGAAGAATGGCTAAGGACTGGCTTTGCAACTCAGTCATTCATTCAGCCATTCAGCAGATCTTTTCTTTTTGTTGTTCTGTGTTTTTGTTTTTTGGGTTAGGATTTCACTATATAGCCCAGACTGACCTCAAACTCTCAGTGATCCTCCTGCTTCAGCCTTTCGAGTACTGGGATCACAGGCGTGCGCCACCACATCCAGCAGCAGATCTTTATTGTTTGTCTGCTGTTGCAGGTTGTTAGGCATTCATGGTGAGCAAAAATATGGTTCCTACCTTTATGGAATTTGTAGTCTAAGGAGGATGCTTGGCAATAGTTACCTAAATAAATGAAAAAGTTATAACATGAACAGAGCTATGAAAGAATATGTATAATAAGGGAGTTTTGCCTAGTTGGGGGCCAGGAGGAAGAGTGAGCTTTCCTGAGGAAGTGATGATGTAACTGAGTCTACGTGGTCATTAATTATGGAGAGAGAAGAGATCAAATGCAAAGGCCTGGGAGCAGAAGGAGCCAGCATAGTCATGGCGTTAGAACTTGGAGAGTGGGAGGTGGGGGAGCATGTATGAGATGAAGATACAGCCAAGCCAGGCAGGGCTGTGGAGGTCATGGCAGGGACTTTTGTCTTCACCCTAAAAACAATGAGAAATCATTTTGTTTCATGTATTCTGTTATTTTTTCTAGTTTAAAAAACAGAAACTCCTCCTAGAACTGGATCAGTATGCCCCAGATGTGTCAGAACTCATCCAAACCCCTAAAGAAATGCATTACATCCCTCTGAAAGTGGCCCTCTTGTAAGTATTCTCTGACAAATCAGGCTTCAGGCTGACAAATGCAAGGAAAATCTGATGTGACTTTCCCATGTTGTTTGCTGTATTTTTGGAGATTTGTAGTCTTAGTCATCAAGTATTTGCTGTGGTTCTATTGCACAACTGGGGTTCTGGCCAGCACAAGAGACAGAGCTATTCTGTGTCTGTTAGGACAGAGACTCACACAGGGACATGCACAATCAAACCCTTCACAAGTGCTTTCTGACTTAGTGCTGATCTTGGCTCCAACCTACTTGTAACCAGTATTTCTTTAAGAGAAAAGTTCTTCAATGGTGATATATGGAATGAATAAAATTCTGGTCTTTATGTGGCTCTTGTTTTAAGCAGTTCCAATGTTCTGTGTAAAATTTAGTCCCACATTTGTAGTTTAGAAAACTGAAATAAAATGACAAGGATACCTGTCACTGCTAGATGACCAGTATGGAAGAATGGATGTTATTTGGGCATTGTGAAAGAATTCTCGAGGAGTACCCAGTGCTGCCGGTTAAGTTTAATTCTTTCAGGTTATTTGTATTCCTGAAATAGGCAAATGTGAATTATTATTCGCAGTAGTTAACTAATAGTCATTGAATATTAATAATGTGCTGGTTTCTAAGGATACATAGTAAGCAAAATAGACAAATTTCCTTATGGAAAAACATGCCTTAGAACTCTTCAGGATTAGAAGAAGCCTTATTTATTTATTTATTTATTTATTTATTCTGGTACTGGGGATCGAACTTGGGTCCTTGTGCTTGCAAGGCAGGCGGCAGAACCACTGAGCTAAATCCCCAGCCCAGAAGAAGCCTTATGAGGAGAGTTTATTCAACTCTCTGCCTTATGTGTGAATTTCTTGTTCAGTATTCTAGATCGGTGTCTTTTTGAAGATTACCTGTTGTATTAAAATGGCTTGATTTTCCTCCCATTAAACAATTTAGGAGTGTCAGTTCATATCTATGTGCTTGGAAATATAGATGGAAGCTGCCTAACCTTAATAGAACCAGAGGTTTAGCAATATTATGAGTACTTCTCGACTCATGTGTCTCCTGGGGGTAGGGTTGTGGGGTTTTTTGGGTTTTGTTTTGTACTGAGAATTGAACACAGGGCCTTCATACTGAGGTACATTCCCAGCCCTTTTTAAAAATTTGTTATTTCGAGACAGGTTCTTACTAAGTTGCTTAGGCTGTGCTCAAACTTGTGATCCTCCTGCCTCAGTCTCCCAGAGTGTTAGGATTACAAGTGTGCCAACCTACCCAGTTACTAGCAGTAATTTTGTAATAGCTATGGTCATTTCTTTAAAGGTTGTATAATAAACTTATCTATAGTGGCTGGGGAAAACCAACATTTTAGGCCTTTGGCTTTAGAACTGCTAATCCTACAGTCCTGGGAGATACTGGATTTAAGGTTTTTATTTGTGAATAATAGTTATAATCTCTTCCTGAGACACTGATACGTTTCTTCCTCTATGGTAATCAAAATTATGTAACTGGCTTCCCTTTTACTTTGTCCAGCATAAAACTCAGAGCTGGATTTGAAGCTGATTATTATAATGCTGTAGAAGATCCATTTGGTCTTCTTTCCTTTGCTTTTACTTTCTCCTTTTACTTATTTTTCCCAGCTTTTGATTGTTGCTGTTTTTACTTTAGTATTTTTGTATTTTGTTTTCATTGTTGCTACAACAAATCATTTGTAGAAGCCGGATAGAAGTAAATAAAAATGATCCATTGAGACTATATAAGATTTCTCAGCTCACAAACATTTCAGATTTTTCTCAGTCCATTCTTTCCCACTTTGGGAGTGGTTAAGTATCCTGGCTTATCTCCTTCCCAGTGGAAGGTCCAGATGTCCTGTGAAGTTCTATGGCAACTGGTTGTTGAATTCAATGGATACTTATTCTGCCTGTGAGTTCTGGGTCAGTACTGCTTGACTACCAAGAGGGATAAGTAGGAGAAACAACATTGGCTTTAGAGCCAGAGAGACCTGCTTTTCAATGTGTTTATTAGCTTGTGAAACCTTGGGCAAATTACTTAACCACTGAGTCTGTTCTCTCTTCTGTAAAACTAGAATGTTATTGGTCTCTGTGATAATCAAGTATGATGATTTCCCAATTACCACATAGCACAGTGTTCAGTACCTTTTACTTATTGAAGCCCAAACCCTACTCCTTTCCCTTTTACTTGGGAGAATGAGTTTCTAAAAAGTTGCTTTCCTTTGGGTACACTTTAAATAAATCTCTTGAACTTCCTAGCTATGGTGGCCAGGATTCCCTGGTCCATTGACCAGGATTACTAATGCTAAATATGTGTGTTCTTCCCCAGCTATCTCTTAAATCCCTACACGGTCTTGTCTTGTGTTGCCAAGTCTACCTGCGCCATCAACAACACCCTTATTGCTTTCTTCATTTTGGCCACGATAAAAGGTAAGGCCCTGAAGGAAGTATACAAAGCTCAGTCCATGATTTATGCAAGTTTTATAATTTACATTGTGGGTTAAAAAAAAAAGAGCAGCATTTAATATCTTTTAAAATTATACATACAAGTAATACAAGATTATTATGGAAAAAGTAGAGAAGCCAAGGGAGGCGGGGAATAAAATGTTCTGAAAATGTCCTATTCATAGGGTTACTTAAAAAAGTTTTAAAAGCTTTATACCAAGAATAGCAGTCTTTTGCAGCTCTCTTCCTATCCCTAGAGTTTAGCTTCTTAGAAGCAACTACTTTCTGGCTTTTGCTAGCATTTACTTTGTATTTCTGAATAATAACTTATACTGCTGTTTCATGAATAATATATTTTAGGTATAATTACATTCCTAGTATGGTAAACAATGATTTAGATCTTTTATACCAGTATCTTCCACTTTGCCTGATTTTCCTGTAGTAATTATATCACAGTTTTGATTAAGTGAGCAGTCAGGGGCTCGGGGTGTAGCTCAGTGATAGTGTGTGCTTAGCTTGTACAAGGCCCTAGGTTCAATCCTTAGCACAAAGAAATATAAAAAATAACTTTTAAATGAAAGGCATAGCCAGTACCTATATTTTGACCCTTTATGTATTATTCACTGCTGGTACATAGTAGCAACTATGATCCCTATTTTCTTTCTTTTTTTTTTTTTTTTTTGAGGGGATCGAACTTGGGTCCTTCTGCTTTCATGGTGTGGCGGGAGGCCGCAGCACTAAACTCGATCCCCGGCCCTCCTATTTTCTTTTTATGTAACTTTTCTTTGTATGCTGGGGATCAAACTCAGGACCTTGCGCTTGTGGGGCAGGCATGGTATA